GGAGGGAGAAAGAGGGAGCTAAGGAAGGAAGAGAGAGAGGGAAGGAGAAAGGAAAGAGAGAAGGAAGGAAAAACAAAAGGGAAGGAAGGAAGGAGAAAGAGAGAGAATGAGAGGAAAGAGGGAAGGATGAAAGGGTGAAAGGGAAGGAGGGAAGAAGGGAGAAAGAGGGAGCTAAAGAAGGAAGAGAGAGGGGGAAGGAGGAAGGAAAGAGGGAAGGGAAGGAAGGAAAAGGGAAGGAAGGAAGGAGAAAGAGAGGGAAAGAGGAAAGAAAGGAAGGACAAAAGGGTGGAAAGGAAGGAGGGAGCGAGAAAGAGGGAGCTAAGGAAGGAAGAGAGAGAGGGAAGAAGGAAGGAAAGAGAGAAAGAAGAAAAAACAAAAGGGAAGGAAGGAAAAAAGGAGGGAGAAAGAAAGTGAAAGAGAGGAAAGGGTGGAAGGGAAGGAGGGAGGGAGAAAGAGGGAGCTAATGAAGGAAGAGAGAGGGGGAAGGAAAGAGAGAAGGAAGGAAACACAAAAGGGAAGGGAGGAAGGAGAAAGAGAGAGAGGGAAAGAGAGAAGGAAGGAAGGACAAAAGGGTGGAAAGGAAAAAGGGAGGGAGAAAGAGGGAGCTAAGGAAGGAAGAGAGGGAGGGAAAGAGGAAGGAAAGGGAGAAGGAAGGATAGGTTTAACCCTTTAACTCTCTTTTTGGCTCTGTTTCTCTTTCCTCCGCCTACAGTGGGAAGAGCTGAGCGGGATGGACGAGGAGCAGAACAGTGTCCGGACCTTCGAGGTGTGCGGCGTGAGGGAACCCAACCAGAACAACTGGCTGCGGACCACCTTCGTGCCACGCTCGGGGGCCACGCACGTCTACGCCGAGCTGCGCTTCACCGTGGTGGAGTGCTTCTCCATCCCGAGGGTCACCCGCTCCTGCAAGGAGACCTTCAATGTCTTCTTCTACGAAGCCGATGCTGACACGGCCGACGCCTCCTTCCCGCCTTGGATGGAGAATCCCTACGTCAAGGTGGACACCGTGGCGGCCGAGCACCTGACCCGCAAACGGATGGGCATGGAGGCCTCCGGGAAGGTAGGGCCATGGGTTCATAGAATCGGAATAGACCACAATGGCCATGCAGGAAGACACCATCCAAGCCCTCCTGATAGATGGCCATCCAGCCCAGATTGTGCTCCACTAAGACTCCTAGATCCCTTTCGCAAGGACAGTTTTCAAGCCAGGCATCCTCCATACTATATCTGTGTATTTCGTTTCTATTGCCCAATTGTGGGACCTCATATTTATTTATTTATTATTAGTAATATTACATGTAATATAAATATATAATTATAATATCATATTATTATTAGTATTATATTGCATTACATTAAAATATTATAAATATTATATTTATATACAATATATTATATTATACCATTGTATTGTAATATTATTAGTAATATTATATGTAATATAAAATATAAAATTATAATATCATATTAGTACTAGTATATTGCATTACGTTATAATATTATAAGTATTATATGTAAATACAATATATTATACCATTATATTGTAATATTATTAGTAATATTACTTTAATATAAATATATAATTATAATATCATATTATTAGTATTATATTGCATTACATTATAATATTATAAATATT